ACGTGAGCCACAGTACAACTTCTGGCTTTTTCTGTGTATGTGGTACTGGGAAATCGAGGGCTTCATGCAGGCTAGGCAAGCACTCTACCACTTGGCCACCTTCTCGGCCCCATACTTGGACATTTTAAAGGAAGAGATGATGCCATAAGGCACAGAGTAGCCCATGGAGGAGTTAAACATATGGCATCTCAAAATATGCACGGATTTATTGGTCTGCTCATTGTTTCCAGCAGACATCACGTGGAGAACTGACTGTAACTGCAGGGAGGTCAGCTGCCACGCCGACCCCAGAAGAGTCTGCTTAGCATGGGAAACCATCTATCAGACCATGATAGGGGCTTCAGAGACCTATCTCTGAGTTTTGGGACTTCACCGAAGTCTACCTCGGAGAATAGGGCTTCTAAGAGGCCTACTCCTGGGAAAAGGCTGGCAAACCCCTGGGAAAGATGTGTTTCTGCCTTTCTTCACTGCATAAGAGTGCCTATTAATCTTTTACTGTTTCTACTGCTCTTTGTACTTACGTTCCCTTATTCAAAGCTCTTTCTTAAGAGTGTTGACGACTCCAATATCTGATGAGTGTCTTAAAAATATGACTAACTCACCAGACTTATGTGCTACCCTGAAACCCCTCTTATGGAGTTTAGTAGACAAGTTATAAGTAAATATAAAAGTATTGGGGGTTTCACAAAGTCACTTCAGCAGAAGGAATTGTTTGTAAGGGATTTACAAGAAGCTGTAGGCTCAGCTAGAACAGAAAGAATGTATGGCAATTGCTGAGGCAATTATTTAGGAGAAAGAATTTCCTGCTATTTACTAAGAGAATTGCTAGATCCAGGTCTCCTTGAGGTTTACTATTAAAGAAGAAACAGGAAAGATCTATTTGGGAAAGTTAAGGCCTCTATAAAGATAGGTAATGGTTAATTGGTGACAAACATCGTAATTGCTATATTTCTTAGAGATAAGCCGGAAACAAGTGCCTATCAGGCGATCAGCTGGTGACCACCCAAAAATTGAAGCCATGCAGCAAGATTGTGTAACCTTTTGCCCTTTCTCATGAAGACTTTTGTTATAAAAGTTTGCTATCCTCTGCATTAAATCGCATTCAGCATCCACTCCTCTTGTGTGTGAGTTGTCTGTCTGCCATCTCCCCATCCTATTCCAGGTTCCTCCCCTAGGTGTCCTCCGTCAGCCCGACAGAACCCGGTCCGCGGCAGTCAGCTGACCTGTCTTCCCCATGCACAACCAGCTACCCAGGCTCTTTCAAGAAGGCGCATGCTTCCCACAACGGTTATTTAACAACAGAAGTTGTTAAATAGCCTTGGTCACTGGAAGTCAGTATGGAGACTACAATGGACCTGAAGAAGCACATTCTTTGAAGTAACCCTTGTCTTACACCAACTTCTTTGGTAGTTCTCACCCCATACATCTCTTACTAACATCCCTACAACTGACTATCCTAGTCCGGTTACCTTGTCATTCCTTATCTTAAGAGTACAAATGCATTACGTGGTAGGCATCTCTGTGGATTTTATTCTCTTGTGAAAATCACCAGGTATGTGTGAAATTAATACAACTTAATGCTCTTCTCTTATGAATTATATTGACTGGGTTTCAAGAGCCAGCCAAAGAATCTCCATAAGAATGAAGGTAAGCCGGGCGCCGGTGGCTCACGCCTGTCATCCCAGCTAGTGAGGAGGCTGAGAGCTGAGGATCACGGTTCAAAACCAGCGTGGGCAGGACAGTCCGTGAGACTCTTATCTCTAAGGAACCATTAGAAAACCGGAAGTGGCGCTGTGGTTCAAGTAAGTGGTAGAGCTGAAGAGTTGAGGGAGAGTGTCCAGGCCCAGAGTTCAAGCCCCACAATTAACAAAAAAAAAAAAGAATTAATGTATATGGAGGGAGTAATAATGTTTGACAAGAAATGTCGAACTTCGTTTCCTTACTTATGTAACTGTAACCCCTTTGTACATCATCTTTGCAATAAAATTTAAAAAAAAAGAATTATGGTACAGTAGGGGGACCTCTCTCTCTTCCCCCACAGCTGAGAAGGGCATGTGGATTTCCTTACGGGTCAGCCAAGCACAACTTCTCAAGGTCAGACTTTTCTCTAAGCACCAACGAGAGGCTCAGGACTTGCTGCAGGAAAGTCTGGAGGGGGAAATTAAGAAGGGGCGGCTGAGCGGGGGATGGGCAGGAAGCCTCCACATCTGAGAGGCCTGGTCAGGGAGACATTGCCCAAGGTGGATCCCAGGCTCCTCCTGCAAGAAACACAGCTCTGAAATTCAGCTGTGAGCTGCTGACAGTAAGGCTAGAGGGCGAGGAAGGGTCTGGACAAAAATTAATGTGTGATAAATCATCAGTGTTATGTATAAGGAATTAAGTAAGGGCAATTTCTTTAACATTTTTAGTTGCGCTTTCTCATTCGATTCTAAGGGTTGCCCATGACTTTTGCTACATTAAATCAGCCGTGGCCAGTAAATGCATATCAGATATAAATCATGTCTTGCCCTGCCTTGTTGCTCTATAATTAACTCTACACATCCTAGGGGGAATTTTCTAGTTCGATTTTGAAGACTGTCCACATTTTTGTGGTAGAAGCTTAACAAATTGTGTAATTTCATTTTACATATGTGTGCTAGATTAAAAAATAAACAAAGGGCTGGGAAGGTGGCCTAGTGGTAGAGGTGCTTGCCTAGTATGCATGAAGCCCAGGGTTCAATTCCCCAGTACCACATACACAGAAGAAGCCAGAAGCGGCACTGTGGCTCAAGTGGTAGAGGGCTAGCCTTGAGCAAATGAAGCTCAGGAACAGTGCCCAGGCCCTGAGTTCAAGCCCCAGGACTGGCAATTAATTAATTAATTAAACAAAAACTTCACCTGGACACTGAGTATTTGGTGTTGAGCCTTCTCAAAAGCAAAGAATCTCAGGTAAATAACAAACTACTTCAGAGTTCATCAACAAATTAAAATTTTTGTTTCAAACTTCCCTGATTAGCGATGTGATCATGATCATCTTGTTTGTAGCTACCCAAGGGTACGTTTCCCGAGTTCTAAGTTCTCTTTTCAATGTAATATTCAAGAGAAGATAAGACAATGCGAAAACTGTAGGCACAGAAAATTATTTTCTGACTAGGACTCCAATTGCCCAGAAAATAAGAGGATGGATGGATGAATGAGTGGGATTACATCAAATTGAAAAGTTTCTGCTTGTAACGAGAAAGTTATTTGAAGTTATAGAGAGAAAAATAAAGAACATGTTCAAAGTCCTTTTCATGCATCAGACTCACACAGAACTACTGTGAGTTTAAGTCTTAAGAGTTCCTTATAAAGACCTAAGCAGGGTTTCCTTGTATCTACAAAAGACACTTCCACCAGAGGTTTTTTTCTCTCTTTTGTTAACCTGCAGCGAGAGTTCATTATGAGCCGGGCGCTGGTGGCTCATGCCTGTCATCCTAGCTACTCAGGAGGCTGAGATCTGAGGATCATGGTTCAAAGCCAGCCCGGGCAGGAAAGTTCCTGAGTCTCTGATCTCCAATGAACCAACAGAAAACCAGAAGTGGCGCTGTGGCTCAAAGTGGTGGAGAGTTAGCTAGCTTTGAGCTGAAGAGTTCAGGAACAGCACCTAGGACCAGAGTTCAAGCTCCATGTCCAACCAAAAGAAAAAAAAAGAGTTCGTTAAGGTCAGGCAGCTTACCCAGCCCCTCTCAGCTCCTTCCTTGTTTCCTTTCTTAATTTTATTTTTTGCCAGTCCTGGGACTTGAACTCAGGGCGCTGTCTCTGAGCTTCTTTTTGCTCAAGGCTAGTGCTCTACCACTTGAACCACAGTGCCCACTTCTAACTTTTTTTTTTCTGTGTATGTGGTACTGAGGAATCAAACCCAGAGCTTCATGCATGCAAGGCAAGCGCTCTACCACTGAGCCACCTTCCCAGCCCTCCCTGCTTCCTTTCATGCATGCACTTTCCCCTGAAGACGACGCGTGCACTCTAGCCCTGCCTTCACCTCTGCTTCTCAGAAGTTTAGACTGACCTGGTATTCACTCACTCACTCACTTATTGATGGTCTATATTATCTCTTGTCCTTAGTTCTAAGTACTGTACAAGACTGAGAAGGCCCTGCATTCGTACACTTCCCTAAGTGTTGTAACTACTTCCTTCAGTTTTTACTGTATTCTGCACATGGAGCTTCGAAACCCCCTGTGTCTCATCTCATTTGCTCTTTAAAGTTAACTCTGCCGCAATGGAGGAATCATTCTTCTTGTGCCATGAACAAGAAAACTAAAGCCCAGAGAAACAAGCTTTCTAGGGGCTTTCTGAGAAAACCGTTTTTTCACTCCCAAACTCCTTCTTTTAACCACTAGGTGACAATATATTTCTGCCAGGTGACAGCTCTGAATAGCTGAGTTTCCACAGTCTGGCTTCATTTTTTTGTTTTCAATTTAAATTTATGAGGGCCGGGGGAAATATTTACAGGAGAGGCAAGCAGCACTCTAGAGCACTCAGTCCAAGTCAGGTTAATGGCGGTATATTGTCTAACTTGTTCAGAGACGTCCCTCACCAGGTGTTAAGTTTTCCAACTCGCCTTCCTTACTCAAAAGAAGACAGGCGCCGGTGGCTCACGCCTCTCATCCTAGCTACTCAGGAGGCTGAGATCTGAGGATCACAGTTCCAAGCCAGCAGGGGCAGGAAAGTCTGTGAGACTCTTATCTCTAAGGAACAACCAGAAAACTGGAAGTGGAGCTATGGCTCAAAGTGGCAGGGCGCTAGCCTGGAGCAGACGAGCTCAGGGACAGTAGCCAGAGGCCTCTGTGAGTTCGTGCCCCACAACGAACCAAAAAAGAGAAGAAAAGGAAATCCCATTCGCTCCTCTGCTTTTCATCCTAGTCAACGGGCCAGCATTGGCCAGCTGATGGCATGTGTTCACATACAACCAGGGCCCTTCTCAGAGGTACCACGGAGGACTGGTACTGCTTGCCATGCTGGGAGCTGAGGCGAGTACACACCGTTATGGTGGAGATCGGCTGTGGTGTCCTCTGTGCTCCCCTCGAGGTCGCCAGGGTCCAGGGAAGGAGACTCAGGCAGGGTTTCTGCTGGTGGCCCACCTAATGCCTGTGGAAGGAAGGTAACCACTCGTGAGCACCTGGCAGAAGGAAAATAAACCCTACCACAAAGTGAAGCGATGTTCTTGTTTGGGAGACTGTTATTTGGAGAGACCATTTGGAAATCAGCCTCTCTAATACCCTCGCTTACATTTGATACCTTTTTCAAGTTGGGGGGAGAAGCTAACTCGGGATCAGACAGGAAGCCATGAATCCATGAGATGGGCCTTGGTGTGACTCAACCTAGTTACATCCCCACAGCGTGCTCCCAGGGTGCAAACCCGGAGCTGCCCACCATCCCCGGTTCAGGTAAGTTATACTTGCTCTGTCAGCAGCTGGGGCACCAACCTGCAGCCTCGGCCTGCCTCTCCCCACCCCAGATCTCCTCCCTTTACAGTGCAAAATGGTTGACTTGAATCACTTCCAGTTTCTTTTCTAAGCGGTTTTATCTTTGGCAGTACTGGGTTGGAACTCGGGACTTCACATTTGCTAGGTAGGTGCTCTGCCACCTGAGCCGCTCTAGCAGCCCCTGGTAGTGTTGGTTGTTTTCAAGATCAGGATTTGCTGTATGCTAGGCTAGACTGGACTGTGATGCTCCTATTTGTGCTTCTCTTCATAGTTTAGAATGATACAGGCAAGTCACTGCATGTGACAGTGGCCAAGATGGAGTCTTGTGAGCTTTTTTTTCTTTTCGGCCTAGACTGGTCTTGAACCAAGTATCTGAGATTACAAGCTTGAGCTACTTTACTAGGTTTTCGTCTCGCCTTAAAAGTCTCTGTGTTTCTATGAATTCCAACTTCCAAAAAGAAAACGACCTAAAAAATGATAGAAAGAATTCACAATTCCTAGAAATAAGAGGCCAATGGGCTGGCAAAGTGCTCAGTGGTAGAGTGCTCGCCTTGCATGCATGAGGCCCTGGGTTCAATTCCTCAGTACTTTGAAGCCAGGTGCTGGTGGCTCACGCCTGTCATCCTAGCCACTCAGGAGCCTGAGATCTGAGGATCATGGTTCAAAGCCAGCCCAGGCAGGAAACTGAGATTCTTATCTCCAATAACCCCCCCCCAAAAAAAAACTGGAAATGGAGCTGTGGCTCAAAGTGGTAGAATGCTAGCCTTAAGCAAAAAGAGGTCCAGAACAGAGCCCAGGCCCTGAGTTCAAGCCCCACAACTGACAAAAATAAAAATAAATGACTTTGTCTTTTTTTTTCTGGTGTGTGTATGTACGCGCATGTGTGTCTATGTGTGCGTGTGTGTTGACAACCTAGACCTGATGGTTGACAAATGGCTCTCACAGGAAACCATCCCAAGAGTAGTTTGTTAAGGAGGAAACTAATGGGAAGTCCAAGCTAATTTTTACATGAATAAGTAAGAATATTCGAGGGCAAGGCATTTATGACAAGACAGCTACCAGGTGCTTTTTAAGACATCTGTGTTCTGTATGTGCAATAGTTATTTCAGCAGGTACAATTAGTTCTAGACTTTGGAGGATCGTTGATGGAACCCAGAAAACTTTTAACAACAAAGTGAGTGTGTGAACTGTGTCTCTATGTGGACTTCACAAGTTACCTGGGAAAACAGAGACGTGGACTTAAGGCTGACTTTGAATTGCTGGGGTTCTTTGAGGAGAACACACAGCTTGATATAATTGTTACAGAGAAGAGACTGATCTGGTCTTTGATTCCTATCACCACTCTGTGTGTGGAGCGCTGGACTGCTTGGGATTTGCCCCAGAAACCCAGTTCTAGCACTAGCATAGCCATCTGTACTGCAGGATAAAAGACCGTCTCTGGGCTTGTCTAATGCACTATGGTTTCTAGTCGTTTCTAAGCTATCTCCCGTTAGAGAAATGTTGTCTAACATGATTCCACACTCAACTGTGCTTTAAGATTTCAAAGGAGAACATGCCTGCCAAAACAGAAGACTGGAAAACAAGGCAAGCCACATGCTAAGCTTGCTTCAACAATTAAAAAAAAATATATATATATATATAGTACATATGTATATATATGCTCTATATATAATAAACAGGTTTAGTATATATATATGTATATATGTATATATGTATATATATAGCCTATTTACTCCCCTCACGCTGCATCTGTCCTAAGTATTTCTGAAATATATAGGGGTCTGCCTCAGTCGGGCAAGAGAGAAGAAACGAGGAATTGAGAACATAGCCGCAAGGGGATTAGGAAGAATTAATGATCCATCTGTGCAGAGGGAAACGAAGAGCTCTCCAGGAGAGGAACATTTCCTCCTCCTCCTTCTCCTCTCTTGCATCTTATTAAGATTGTTTCTTATATTTTATTTCATCTTTTTCAGCTCAAGCAATGCCTTTCCCTGAGATGCTAAAATCCTCTAGGCCCTTCAGCAAAGTGTTTGCCTTCCTGTTTTCTGCCTCTTTTGTTCTATGAATAGCATGAAATCACTTGCTCTTGTGCTGGTGAATACGATTAAACTTGCCTCTTCCCAGGCTGGCTGTCTCTCTTCACCCTTCTCCTGGGATGAACAAGAAAGTCTTCCTTCAGGCCGCTCCTCTTTTTCCTCCTTTCCCATGAAGGGTTTTCCTTCCTAAAGAGATTATAAGAAGCTCTGTTCATTGGTGGCTTTTTCCGGGTCTGCTGCTTTCAGGAACTCTACTTTCTATCCACGATCAATCAGAGTATGGTCGTGAATGAGTACGCATCAGAATCAGTGGACAGCTCGCTTGCTAGAAATGCCAGCCCTCACCCCCACCAGACCAAAATGTACGAGAACCCCAAGTGCATTTTGAACTTTGAGATTTGCTGTTCTGCTGGGAAGGTGGCTCAGTGGTACAGTGCCTGCCTAGCATGTATGAAGCCCTGGGTTCGATTCCTCAGTACCATATATACAGAAAAGGTTGGAAGTGGCGCTGTGGTTCAAGTGGTAGAGTGCTAGCCTTGAGCAAAAGAAGCTCAGGGACAGTTCCCAGGCCCTGAGTTCAAGCCCCAGGACTGGCACAAAAGAGAGACAGACAGACAGACAGAGATCTGAGATTTGCTGTTGTAAGCTGGAAGAATGTGAAGTGAGGCTCTCGATTGTGGGCCTCAGAGTTCAGGAAGGCAATCAAGGGGGAACATGCCAGAGCGGTAGCATAAAAGGGGGCAGGGAGTGGGAGAACCGTGAGGAGTGCTGTGGGGCCCGAGCACGGCACCGGCCGGAGCGTCTCCTGTTCCCGTTAACAGACGAAAGTTAAGAGACAGGCTTCTGGAAAGCTTAGGGCCACAGTGTGTAGCAACGAATCTTGGGCCACTCAAGGATGAACCAAAGTCTCTGGCCAGGACAAGGTTGGATGGCTCCCCCGACTCCACCCCGCCCCATTGCCCTGTCCCCTAAAGAGAAAGGGGATGGAATCGGGAAGTCACTGGAGAAGTAGTGAGCTGGAAGTTTCCTAGATTCTTCCTGGGATTCTCCCTTCATCTAAAGTGGATGGAGGCAGATCAGGGTGTTTTCTCTGATGTTATCCCGTGTGTGTGTGTGTGTGTGTGTGTGTGTGTTTGGGGGGGAGTGTGTGTGTGTGTGTGTTTGGGGGGGAGTGTGAGTCTCCTAACATGCTGCCAGGAGCACCAGAAGACCCCAACTTATGGGGTACCAGGAGGATGGGCCTTCATACAGTATAGCTGGAATATGGAGAATATTTACATGACATAGGCAAGTCATTGAGGTTTTATAAAACAAGTACAGACCTATAGTTGTTAGAATCCAGGCTTCCCGAGGAACAAAGGCATGCCAGTTTCTGTCGCTGGCTGAACGTGTCGTTTGCACACATTAACAAACACAGCATCGTTACAAGCCTCTAGGCCTCCTGGCCTATGGGACTATGTAGTCTCTGCTCCATGGGGACAAAGCAGACAGAGCCAGAGGCTCGGCACCCCTGGGCTGCCCCAGTAGGGTCTAAAAGGTGTCTGGGAAAACGAACACCAACAAGTGGCCATTTTCTATTGAACTTGCAACCCTGTTCATTATCAGCTAGGATAGTTTTTTTTAAGAGTCTGAGTGTAGGGTGATACAGATGGAAGGCAGAAAAGAAAAGGGAAAAGAATAGCTGTGAGACGGACAGGGATCCGTGGACTAATTGGCAAGAACATTCGCGGCCTGGGTGGAATGAAAACTGGTCACACTTTTGTTCTGGGGATTCATTATTTTAACCCATCATCTGTGCATTGAATGCCAATGCCATCACCTTGTACACAGTAGCCTTTCAATTTATTTGATGAATAAAACCAACCTTGAACTAATATCAACTGCTGGCCTACAGTCCAGAGTCTTCCCTGGGCGGGAAGCAAGTTGGCCCAGATGCCTTTGCTCACTACCTTGTCTCTTTGTCCACACAACCAGCTCCACAGACCTGAAGAATCACAAGCAAGGGCAGGTTTTATGCACGTACGCCAATTACATCAATGCTCAGCCTCTCAGAGTTCCAGGGCCGCAAGTCCTGCATCCACTTGTTATTTTCTTCGTACTTTTCTTTCACAATCTTCCTGCACATTTAAAGTGAACATAGAAGGATAAGTACAGTCTGTCAGAACAGTATTTGAACTAAAATCACCCCCCCCCTTTTTTTTTGTTGCGCCAGTCCTGGGGCTTGAACTCAGGGCCTGGGCATGGTCCCTGAGCTTCTTTGGTTCAAGGCTAGCACTCTACCACTTAAGCCACAGCACCACTTCAGCTTTTTCAGTGTATGTGGTACTGAGGAATTGAACCCAGGGCCTCATGCATGAGAAGCAAGCACTCTACCATTGAGCCACCTTCTCAGCCCCTGAAATCCCTCCCTCCCTCTCTTTCTTTCTTTCTTGTTGTGGGGCTTGAACTATGGGTCTGGGCGCTGTCCCTCAGCTCTTCAGCTCAAGGCGAGCACTCTACCACTTGAGCCACAGCGTCACTTCCGGTTTTCTGGTGGTTCATTGGAGATCTGAGTGTCACAGTCTTTCCTGCCCAGGATGGCTTTGAACCGCGATCCTCAGATCTCAGCCTCCTGAGTAGCTGACAGGTGTGAGCCACAGTGCCTGGCAGGAATCATCTTTTGAGTGTGTGGATCAATGAACATATCATCATATGCATTCTAGTTTTCCATGGTTGGGGGGGGTAGCTTTTCTCCAGAGAATTCCTAGAGAACCCTGCTTACTTCAGCTTCCTGGCTTTCTCATGGGCTGCCTGGAGCTTCCTTGGCCTCATCCTCTCTCTGAGCGTCATTTTCTGCACGTCAGACAGTTCCTGGGGAGTCTGCAGGTGGATCTTTTTTTGCCTACAAATAATAAAAGAATTCCCCCACGTGCAACCTATCACAAATAGGCCCTGAAAAATTAAACGAGTATCATTACCCTAGCGAGACAGCAACAGCATCTTGAAGCAGACCGGAGGGGGAAAAAACTAATAAACGCTAGTAAGTTAATGAGCCAACCAGGACTGCAGTTAATCAACCATATTTTTTATAAATGAGATTTTTGTTTAAAAGCAAATTAGGTGCTTTCCAAATGCCTGCTCATTCCATTGCCTGTGAATGATTTTCATAATGTAAGATAAATTAGAACCCTGGCTATTAGAGCAAAGAGACTGGCAACTGACTCATCAGTGTGGATAAGAACACAGTGTTGGAATGGACGGGGTGTGTGTGGGGGGGTCTCCCCTCTTCTCCTCATTAGCTCTGTAATGTTAGCCGACATACTGAATCTTGTTTTTCTCATCTGTACAGAATTAGGCCACCGTGAGTATTATGTGAGATAAAGTAGGCCCAGTGTCTGGCTCATAAAAACGATTCCAAATGGTAATGTGGCCACATCTAATTTTTTATTGCATGTCTTACAGGCTAGCTTTAATCTAAGAGATATTTTATGGTAGCATGGGGTGTGGTTAATCACCAAGGTAACACTTTCTGGGTTCAAATCCTTAGCTCTCAGGTTATACTCTGTATGTTTGTGTTTGAGCAAGTTACTTATCCTCTGAACGACTATGAAAATAATGGGACCCAGTTAGCTAGGCTCCTTGGCATTAAACTGAGCTCCTTCATTAAGAAGAGATTTTTAACAGAGCCAATTACATGGCCATTGCCTCCCAAAATATTAACCAGTGTTATCACAAATGAACCTCTCTTTCAGCTAAAGAAACAGCCAAGTACTGAAAGGCACATTCTCGATGATACTTGCTTCTGCCATGGCCCAATATTACATGACACCTTTTGTACTCAACTTTTTCCTTAAGAAAAACAGTTTGGGGCTGGGAAGGTGGCTCAGTGGCAGAGTGCTTGCCTTGTATGCATGAGGCCCTGGGTTCGATTCCTCAGCACCACATAAGCCGAAAAAGCCGGAAGTGGCGCTGTGGCTCAAGTGGTAGAGCACTCACCTTGAGCTGAAGAGCTGAGGGACAGACAGTGTCTAGGCCCAGAGTTCAGGTTCCAGGACCAAAAAGAAAAGAAAAACAGTTTTGTAAGCAACTCTCATCCCTCTGGAATACCATCCAGGCTGGGTCCTCCATGGGATGTACAATTTTCCAAGAACATATACAACTTGGATCTTGAAGATGAGCGTGACTAATTGGAATCAATATTTCATAATGCGAAATGACCTCTCAACTATTGGATTCTAGCACACCATTAATTGTAAACAGTGCCAGGTAAATGGTTTCCCAATTGCCGTGGGGAAAAAAATGATAGCTGAAATCAGCTTGATACTTATAGGAGAGCCTCATTCTCTCACACCTCTAGTCACTAAAGCAAAAATTAAAACTAGACATTCCAGTTCCTCCAAAGAGACAGGAACCCAAGAAAACGGTTATGAGAAGCCTGCCATCAACTTTGCCCATCAAAGTGCAATGGATATGAAACTTCAGATCGTACAAAAACAAAGACTGGACATGTTTGGCTGGGCTGGCGTCTGCTTGTCTATTTGACCTTGAAGGTCAGCCTGTGGAAGGCTCCTATTCTTACTCTGCTGCCTCGAACACCTCTGAGGAAGAACTCCTATCATCTTTAGATCTTTACAAGACCAAACAGAGCTCCTTTAGCAAAACTGTAGCGTCGATCTTTTTTATTTTTGTCAGTTGTGGGACTTGAACTCAGGGCCTGGGGACTGTCCCTCAGCTCTTCAGCTCCAGGCGAGTGCTCTACCATTTGAGCCCCAGCGCCACTTCCGGTTTTTTGGTGGTTGATTGGAGATAAGAGTCTCAAGGACTCTCCTGCCCAGGCTGGCTTTGAACCACGATCCTCAGATCTCAGCCTCCTGAGTAGGTAGGATGACAGGCATGAGCCACTGGCGCCGACCAATCTTTATTTTTTAAACTGTTTTTTTTTTTTTGGAGGGGGGGTCTTTTCTTTTTTGGAACTGGGGAATCAAACCCAGGATGTTGAACTTGCCAGGCAGGTGCTTTGCCAATGAGCTACATCCCAGCCCATAGCATTGCTCTTTAAAAACAGCCATCCCTGGAGTTGTACAGCTCATCACCTGCACAGCTGGACAAGGCTGATCCAAACCAAGCTAGTAGGGCTCTTGGCTCTTGCAAGTCGTAACACAAACATTTTGAATGAGGAGAAAGAGGAGGTAGGCTGGGACATAACTCTTTGGGAAACAAACACACATATTCTTTAGTTTTGATGTAAGAAGGTATGTGTTTGTAAAGAGTAAACTTATTTTCAGTTGTCCCAGGATCTCATCCATTCACGTTTCTGCCGAAACAATCATTGGCATTACTGCTACTGAATGCTGGTGATGTTAATTTCTCTATACACTTACAAGGCAACTGCAGAGCTCCCCTGCAGATCTGTAAGCTGTGCAGTGGTTTAAACTTTTATGATTTCAATTTGCTGCCACATGGGGCAAACGGCTTTGGAACCACATTACTGATGAGTCTTCATTTCTTCGCAAGACTTAAGTGAATCCTAGGATGATGTCATCAGCTTAGCCCTAAGAGATTTTTAAAGACAGTTGCATTTAACATGCATGCTCAATTGGCTTGTTGTTGGTGTTGGTGGTCATGGGGCTTGAACTCTGGACCTGGGCACAGTCCCTCAGCTCTTCAGCTCAAGGTGAGTGCTCTACCACTTGAGCCACAGCACCACTTCCAGTTTTCTGGTGGTTTATTGGAGATAAGGGTCTCATGGACTTTCTTGCTCGGGCTCACTTTGAACCACAATCCTCAGATCTCAGACTTATAAGTAGCTAAGATTACAGGTGTGAACCAGCAGTACCTGGCTTTTGGCTTTTTTTTTTTTTTTAAACAGAGCAATTACTTACAAGGCATTAACTATCCGATCAGCCTCCTTCTGACAATCCACATGCATGTCTTCTTGAGTCATTTCACAGTATCGGCACAGCAGGTGCTGAAAAGAACAACCACAACCCTGGCAAACGTGAAGAATCCTTCTTCAGCAATGCACAGCCATGCAAGTGCCAGATGTTGTTTCTGCTTTGGGGTACCACCGACCACGGTAGACAGCTTGTGAACAAAGCTCCCAAGCATCTATTTCGCCCTCTGCCAAGGGTTATATAACTCGTGTAGGAAGACCTTGGAGATGAGGCTCTAGTTCTAGCTTGTACGGCTTGCTTTTCCACTCCATTATCCAGCCTGGGCTTTCTTGGTCTTGAACATCGGCCAGTAGAGAGCGCCTGTTTTGCCCTCACTGCCCCGGGAGCCTGAACTTCTGGGAAGAGACGTCTCTGGGCCCTTTACAAATTAAGTAGGGTTCCCTCAGCAAAATGACTTATTTGGTCTTCGAGGGTGTCCTGGGGTCACTGCCTGCATGGTTGTACGTGACTGTTCAAAAGGAGCTATCTGGGCTGCTGCCCCTGTTAAAAATTCCCAGGCACTCACCTCAAAATCTAAGGGTGATAACCAAAAAATCAGTAGTCAGGTCAACATTTTAATCAACTATTTTTCATTATTTTATTTATGTATTTGTTTGTTTATTGTCAGTCATGGGGCTTGAACTCTGAGCTTGGGCGCTGTCCTCAGCTCTTCAGCTCAAAGCAAGCGCTCTACCACTTGAGCCACAGTACCACATCTGGTTTTCTGAGTGGTTTATTGGAGATCAGAGGCTCACGGACTTTCTTGCCCCGGCTGGCTTTGAACTGTGATCTTCAGATCTCAGCCTCCTGAGTAACTAGGATGACAGGCGTGAGCCACCTGCGGCTGGCAATTAACTATTATTTTAAAGATCAGCGTCAATGTCAAAAGGTCATGTATGAACAATACAATATCAGAAGTTTAGTCAGACATGGTGGCTCAAACCTATAATCCCTGCTACCTAGGAGGTGGTGATTAGGGGATCATGGTTCAGGCTGGCCCAGATAAAAAGGGGTTCATGAGACTCCCATTTCTACCAATGGCTGGGTACCTGACATTTAATTAATTCCTGCACATATATGGATGGCACCAGTGGGAAGATGACAGACCAAATGGCTGGTGTATAAAGTCAGACCCTACCTTGAAAATAACCAATGCACAAAGAGGATTTGGGACATGGTTCAAGTGGTAGAGAACCTGAGAGATTAGAATTCTAATTGATGGAGAAGTTAAAAGAAAAAAAAAGGCCGGCGCTGGTGGCTCATACCTGTCATCCTAGCTACTCAGGAGGCTGAGATCTGAGGAGCAAGGTTCAAAGCCAGCCCAGCAAGAAAGTCTATGAGGCCCCTATCTCCAACGAACCACCAGAAAACCGGAAGTGGCACTGTGGCTCAAGTGGTAGAGCACTCACCTTGAGCTGAAGGGCTGAGGGACAGTGCCCAGGCCCAGAGTTCAAGCCCCATGACCGACAAAAAGAAAAGAAAAAAATAACTCTCAAGAGAGAGGACCATTGGCTTCTTCCTCTAGAGCAAAATTTCTAATCCAAGGGAAAGTAAAATAAAAACTCACTTGGTAAGTGTTGGTAAGCATAAAAAGATTAGAAAAAACAAATGCTCGCTGAAAAATCCCATATTTGGGTGCTTAGTATTATTTGTATATTAGTGTTATCTTGTAGTATATTAGTATGATCTTGGGCTAGCAAGGATATGTCTGCAAAGTGCTGAGCAGTAAGGTGGACAGTGGGCGTGGGCATGTCAGATCCCTGATTTCCCATGTCCAGTGGACCAGAGAACTGAGTCCAGGCACCTACTTCTTTCTGCACAGAAGCCGTCCTGACTAGTGATGCTCTCAGCTACTTTGTAGTTCAGTTCCTCCTCCTGACTGACTCTTCAGCCCTCCCCTTCCATGCATGTAAACACGAATACCTTTCCCTGGCATCTCGTGTGTTTTAAATACCTGTAGCTGCTCATCGATGTAAGGAACTTTTAAAATTTCTATGGCAGATGGTCTCAACGAAGGACTCTTGTTCAACATGCTGTAATGGTCAAAAGAAAATTACTTGTTCAGATGAACGAAGGCCTAAGTTCATTTAAACACAATAATGTGATATAAAATGGTTTCTTGTGACAACAGATTGGTTTCCCTACCTTTCCATGATGGAGTTGAGTTCCCTTGGGTATCTCTCAGGGAGAGAAGGGGTGTCTCCTTCCACAATTTTTAAGATGATAGACAAGAAATTGGAGCCAGTAAATGCGTGACTAAGGCAACATATCTCATATAAAATGCATGCCAATGACCTGCAGACAAATATCAAAGATTTTAAGGAAGAAACAAATCTCTTTTTATATATGGTCATCATACCAATCTCAGAGGTGTTGGTTTTGAGAGATAACATATATTTCAGTGGTTTAAAAACTGCAGTTTCAGCCAGGCACCAGTAGTTCACATCCATAATCATAGCTAAGTAGGAGACTGAGATTTGAGGATAGCAGTTTGAAGCCAGCCCGGGCAGGAAAAGTCTGTAAGACTCTTTAATTAATCACCAAAAAGTTGGAAATGGAGCTGTGACTCAAGTGGTAGAAAAGTAGCCTTGAGCAAAAAAATCTCAGGCACAGCATCCCCTGACTTCAAGCCAAAATACTGGCCACACACGCGCGCGCGCACACGCACGCACACACACACACACACACACACACACAAGTTGTGTAGAAAGAAAATTGTTGATAGGGGTTGGAGGTGTGGCTCAAGTGGTAAAACACGTGCCTGTCTTGCAAACATGAGGCTCTGAGTTCAATCCTCAGTAACAATAAGGGAATTAATCATTTTAAAGCGGCACATCTAATTACGTATTTCTGGGGTACCGTGCGATAATGCAGTGTATATATGCGATATGTAATAATCAAATCGGAGTTGTCTGCATTTCCGTCTCAAGCATTTATCATGTGTGATCGGAGCTCGTGAACACTTGTAGTTCTCTGTAAAACCATGTAAGAAGTTGTAAGCTGCAATGACCCTCCTGTGCTGTAGAAGACTTGAACATACGCCTCCTACTTAACTGTACTTTGGTGCCTCTCTCCCAACTTTCCTCATCCTTCCCATCCCCTCTCCCCTTCCTTAGCCCCTAGCAATCACTGCTCTACTCCCCGTTCCTGGGAGATTAGCAGTTTCAGCTTCCAAGTACGAGTGACACAGAACATGGGGAATTTGTCTTCCTGTGCTTGGCTCATTTCGCTTTGCATATCCTTGTCAAGACTATAAAACTTATTTTATTTTATTTTTGGTCGGTTGTGGAGGCTGAACTCTGGGCCTGGGCGCTGTCCCTCAGTTCTTCAGCTCAAGGCTAGCGCCCTACCACTAGAACCACAGCGCCACTTCTGGCTTTTTTCTGCTTATGTGGTGCTGAGGAATTGGACCCAGGGCCTCATGCATGTGGGACAAGCGCTCTACCACTGAGCCACCTTCCCAGGCCCTAAAAGAAATTTTGAACGAAACTATCTGTTCAACGCTCAACATCAAAGAAACAAGAAGGATAGAGGTATGGATCAAGTGAAAGAGTGCTTGCCTGGCAAGCAGAAGGTCATGGGTTCAGTCCCCAGGAATCTCTTAAAAAAAAAAAAAAAAGAGGCTGGGAAGGTAGCTAGTGGTAGAGTATTTTTCTAGCATGTATGAGGCCCTCAGTACCACATACACAGAAAAGGCTGGAAGTGGCACTGTGGGTCAAGTGGTAGAACTCTAGCCTTGAGCTGAAGAGCTGAGGGAAAGCACCCAGGCCAGAGTTCAGGCCCCATGGCCAACAATAAACAAACAAACAAACAAATAAATAACAATTATTATATATATAACAAAAAAAGAACAAACAAAAAATAAAGTAAAACTGATCACTAAATCAACCTCTGGTCTTATAGCATATAGTGATAAGCAACATTAGATGAATTTATTAGGAGTTATAAAAATGTGTGACTATCTTGCATAACAGACTGTGAAACAATTGGATCTAGAGGCTGATTCGGGAACCAGATCGCTTGGATGTGACTTCTTTTTGGAAATTCTCAAGGCTGCACTGCAAACAGGCTGCTCCTCTCCTTCTAGTCCTAATTTCATCTATTTGATATTGGCTTGTGCCTAAGAACAAGGAGCCTTCAGTTACCAGCCCAGAAGTGTACCTGCCTGCCCTGGACACTCATGGCCTGGGCATAAGACAGTTACAGAAACCACTGTGACACTCAGCATGATGGATGTTTTTTTTTGGGGGGGGAGGGGTCTGGTTGTGGGGCCTGAACTCTGGGCCTGGGCGCTGTCCCTCAGCGCTTTAGCTCAAGGCAAGCGCTCTACCACTTGAGCCACAGCACCATTTCTGGTTTTCTAGTGGTTTATTGGAGATGAGTCTCACAGACTTTCCTTGCCCAGGCTGGCTTTGAACCTCGCTCCTCAAATCTCAGCCTCCTGAGTAGCTAGGATGACAGGCGTGAGCCACCGGTGCCCAGCCTGTACATCTATTCTTTTGTTCAGTTTCCAACTAGAAATTTCTATATGGGAATTATTACACGATCTGTAACTCCGAACTTCCATCTTTTGAACAATTTTTCTCTTAGTTGGCATGCAGGTTTTTAAACCTGATGGATCAGGAGCAAGAGCATAGGGTAGGAGTAGCTGAAGCAGTGGGTAGAGCTAAAAGCAAAAAAAAAATTTTTTTTCTTAGAAGTCAGTGATTTGCATTCCCTTCTCTTCCCAAAATACTGCCAGCTTGGAAGAGTTAAGCAAGTATATTCCTGAGGGACCTGCTGTAACTACGAAAGTGAGAGCAGGGAGCAGGTGCTTGTGAGGCAAATGATACCCAGAGTCCATAAACTTGCCATCTGCCATAGTCTGACCAAAATTACCTAGAGGATTTTCAAAGTATACAGGTGGATAATGAATTGCAAATGTAACTTGGACTTTGTCTCTTCTCAATGTAGCTACTATATCCAACCTTTGAAATCTGCCCAGAGCCGGCAAACAGAAGCTACCCCCACAGTAGACTTGGACGCTGGGTTATTGGGCAGTTTTATTATCTCCTATGTAATGTTTTTTTACTTGATGCTATTGAGAAATATACTGATTCCCTCATTTTCCAAAGTCCCCATGACTTAGACAGTTAAACAGAGAGAAAAAGAAAAAGAAATTAACCCAAGTGAAGTGGGTTTTGCTTTAATGTGTAATACCCTAAATGAAAGTCTTACTTAAGAACTGAATAGTTTTTAAGAGTGAAGGATATTGAAAGGGGTGACAGTGTTCAAGATACACTGCGTTCATAGACCGCTTTGTTAAATGGCAACTCCTTTGTACAACGACTTAGAGATAATAAAAGAATTAGATAGAACATGAAGTCTGTCTGAATATAATCAAATGGTGAACACAAATGTGACCAACACACATTGATTGCTTGAAACTCTTCAGCAGTGAAAGGATACAGCAACTGTTTAATGACCTCTCCTGTCCCACAACATGACACAGTGCACTGACACAGATGGAAACGTATTACATGTTTCTCAAACTTTCATCCTGAGCATTGGGGTGGGAAGGGGCTGCGGGGGTGGGGGGCGGCGGATGGCAGACACACTGAAAACTCAGTCTGGGGGAACCTTGCTTGAATTTCTGTGTCGTCAAGAGAATCTGGACAGGAAAACCAGAAAACCTGGACCTGGTATCTTCTACAAAGTGAAGTGATCAGGAGGCTTTGGGGGCTTCAGAGTGAAGTAGGCTGGGTGGACAGCAGGGCTGCACGCCTGTGCAGTGTGCGCCCTGAAACAGCTGGGCCCTGAAACAAGAGGATTCTCAGCTTAGCTGGACAGCACATGGGGTGGGGGGCATTGCTATCCGGAAGCTTGCAGCTGATCCCAGCTGGGGGAATGGTGGGGGCGGAGAGGGGGGGAAAGAGTGGGGGTTCTGTCCAGCCTCAGTGCAGGGTGAGGGCGACTCTGAGAATGAAGGTAAACCCCGACGCAGCTGAGATGCGGTAATTCGGGGCTGTCGAGTGGAGTCTTCTGCACTGATGAAGACGTTCTCTGTTTCTGGAAATAATAACCAATGGTCCCCGGGGAGCTCCTGCACACTTGAAATGTGGCTGGTGTGGCTGAGGGAGAAAGGGAAGGCAAGGGAACCTCTGAACTGCCAAGGGCCATTCTGATATTATTTGTAACCTAATCCCCCCACACACACACATATCTCCAGGCCATTCAAAATGATCAATACTGGCAGACAGCTGTGGGCAGCCAACCAGCCCTGGGGGCAGGGGGACAGGGGTTGGGGGGAAGGGGAGGTGCTGGTTTGCTCTGCAGCCTTGAAGAAAATAAAGTTTTAAAACATACCAGCGTGTGTGTGTGTGTGTGTGTGTGTGTGTGTGTGTCTTCTCCTTACATACCAGCTTTTGTGTGTGTGTGTGTGTGTATGTGTGTTGTGGGCTTGAACTCTGGCCCTCAGTTCTTCAGCTCAAGAAGGCAAGCGCTCTACCACTTGAGCCACAACACCACTTCTGGCTTTTTCTGCTTATGTGGTACTGAGGAATTGAACCCAGGGCCTCATGCATGCGAGCCAAGCACTCTACCACTGAGCCACTTCCCAGCCCCCACGTACCAGCTCTTCTTATGACTTTCTTCCACAATCCAAGTTTTCTGGTCAAAGGAAGATGAGCTCCTCATTCCCCACCCCTCTGGTCAGCCTGTCTCCTCTACACAGTAAGATCTGACCAATGGAAGGAAGAGACTAACACCAGGGAAAAACAAGGACATGTAGCAGAGGGGAGAAGCTAGCTCGAGGAGAAAGTATTTTTGCATCCTTTCCTGTTGCTGAGGTTTTGGTCAAGAATTCTACACCAACCATGAGGTCTGGGAACGGACCCTGGTGGCACTGTCTTTGGGTGAACAGGTGATCATTCAAAATACCAGTCCTTTCTAGACTGTCAACCCCTCAGCCCCGGGTATGGCCAAAGTCTCCACTGCTTCACACTTTGGCAAATGGTAATCTCCCTCCTGCTTCGATCACTGTGCAGTCTCTGAAGAACATCAGAAGTAAAAGAATGGACCTGCACTGATAGAAGCTCCACTTCTCTCCTTTCTTTAGTCTACTCCAACCTTCCCCCTTCTAATCTGCTTTCTTCTCCTTCTCCTCCTCCTCTGTCTCCTCCTCCTCCTTCTTCTTCTTCCCCCCTTCCTCCCTCCCTCCCTCCCTCTCTGTCTCTCTCTCTCTCTCTTTTTGCCAGTCCTCGGCTTGAACTCTGGGTCTGGGCGCTGTCCCTGAGCTGCTCCTCTAGCTCCTCTAGGCTAGCACTCTATCACTTGAGCCAACAGCGCCACTTCTGGCCTTTTCCTGAGTAGTTTATTGGAGATCAATGTCTCATGGACTATTCTGATCAGGCTGGCTTTGAACTGTGATCCTCAGATCTCAGCCTCCTGAGTAGCTAGGGTGACAGGCATGAGGGACTGGCACCCAGCCAGTCTGCTTCTATGGCCCAGCCTGATGTCCTTATAAGACCAGCTCCCTGAGAAACCTACTGCTCCTTGCACTGAAGCATTTCCCTCCCCAATCTAAAGAACAAAGAGGAACCTGAATAGAGTCTCAGAGAATTGGGCACCAGAAGAAAAGGGATAAAAAAAAAAATCAAAGAAATAATGGCAGAAAATTCCCTGAGTTCGATGAAATACATTCATGTATACATCCAAGAAGCTCAACTAACTTCAAGTTGAAGAAATAAAATTACAGTCCTAGGTAGTTTGTAGGAAAATGGTGAAAGAACAAGAGAAAAACATCAAATAAAGCAGTAAAAACCTTGGTTGAATACATTGTATCCAAGTTTTAAATGGTATATAGTTACATAGCTGATGAAGCAAACAATATTACATCATGCTTAAAAAAAAAAGCATAAAGCTGGGGGCGGGGGAGGGCTGGTGGCTCACGCCCACAATCCTAGCTACTCAGGAGGCTGAGATATGAGGATCACAGTTCAAATCCAGCCCCCCCCTCCCCCCCGCAGGAACGTCCTTAAGACTCTTATCTCCAATAAACCACTCAGAAAATCCGGACGTGGTGCTATGGCTCAAGTGGTAGAGTGTTAGCCTTGAGCTGAAGAGCTGAGGGACAGAGCCATAAAAAAGAGCTTAAAAGATTGCACAGAGTATCATTTTTTGTAGTAGCCAACAGATAGGTAAAGCATTTAGCCCATTATTTTTTTAAGCCCATTATTTATCAATTAATCAGAGTATGCACTCCATAAAGCTGAGCGACTCCTGTTGTACTTATTTCCATCATCAATATCAATTTAAAAAGAATTTATTAGCTGTGTGATGAACTACTTTAAAACTCATCAGGCCACACTGGTATTATCTGCAGCGTTTCTCTGAGTCATTCATGCTGGTGTCATTGCAAAACAAGAATACATACTCGCATCATACTTTATATGATGTTTTCCTATGTTAGTTTCTGTTGGGTGAAAATAATTACACCAACTCTGATTCCTTAGAAGACACGACCTCCTGAGCCCACACAGAACTTCTGGGGTCAAAGGAAACTGAGAGGCACTGGCTCTCTTTTTCTAGAACTTCCATCACCAACAGCTAAGGAGGCTGTTGGCTGTCTGCTACGAGCATATCCCATTTTAATGACAGGTGCTGCTGCCTGTGTTTAACCTTTTCCTGCATCTTTCACCAGAAAGATTCCTTCTGTGCCCCTTCTAATCTTCCCTCTCTCTTTCAATCATCTCTCTCCTCCAGAAGGGTTCTCTAGTGGGGATACTTTCTTCGTCCTGTAAATGCCAGGCAGGTGCTAGTTCCTCTCTGTCACCTTCTGCCTGAAACTAAGATGCTTCCGTCCAAGATATTAAAGCACTGGGCATGAACTAGACTCTTCCCAAGTCCCCACCCCCTGGCCAACTTCCATCCTGGAACTCTGATCCTCCCCACTCCCAGTCTCCTGCCACCACCACCTCCGCTTAACAATAAGGACACAGGGCCACAGATCCAAGAGTAATCTAGTTCACTTCTCAAGATAAATGAGGCCAACCGTGAAATGGTCCGTGTACTTACAGTATCATTATTCCAATCACACTGTCCTTTATTCCTTCTTCTTACAAAAAGTAAATTCTAACTATGTGTGCTTTAAATCAATTTAAAATGCTGAACTAAGAACTCAACCTTGTATTTATCTTTCTTTTTTTGGGGGGGGGTCTGGTTGTGGGGCCTGAACTCTGGGCCTAGGTGCTGTCCCTCAGCTCTTCAGCTCAAGGTTAGCACTCTACCACTTGAGCCACAGCGCCACTTCCGGCTTTTTTCTTTTTTGCTTATGTGGTGCTGAGGAATCGAACCCAGGGCCTCAGGCATGCAAGGCAAGCGCTCTACCACTGAGCCACCTTCCCAGCCTCAATTGTATTTATATTTCTCCTGTGGAGAAAAAAAATTATTTGGTAATTACATATACAAATCAGCTGTGTTGAAAGAATATTTTTTTTCAGTGAACCTAATTATCCTAACTTTCCAAATAACTGTTTATTAACTTTTGGGACCTAACTCCCTTTAGGGAGAGATTTTCATATACATGAATACTATAAATAACTGAATCCAGATAGGTTTCACAAATTACTGAAGGGAGATAAGGCTACACATAGGCGAACATTAATACATGAAAATGTAATTAGTGTTAGACCAGTTCTTCTTTAAGCGTTATAAATATAACATGCACAGCTATCAGTGCGAACGCAAAACAGCTATAAATTATTCATGTGTTTCCAGTGCTTTGAAAATACCTACCACGCTAAAGTACAGTCATGGTTCTCATCCTCATTCAATCTCATTTTCCTAAGTGTCTTCCTAAGATTGCTCATCACACTTCTAAACTGCCAATATAATTAATAGTTCTGTTATTGTTTCCACTTTTGGTTTGGTAGGACAAATTCCATTATCAGCTAAGCTATTTCTGACTTTAGATAGGACCAAAGTAAAATGCTCAGTTCATAATGAGGTGGTGGTTCTGGGGGAGGGAGGTCCTCAGCTTGTGCTTGCTGAAGTGTTAATAATCACTGCCAAGGGAGGTGACTTAATGCCTGGACAGATATATTAAAAACTTAATGCCTGGACAGATATATTAAAAAATTCCTATTTTTATATTGGGGAGGTTTGGGCTCTTTTATGTTTTGTGTTTGTCAGATATTTTTGTAACTGTAAAATATCACAGCACTACAGCTGATATTTCTACAAGTCTCTTTGCGGGTTGCAGGAGCCGTTTGTAAGACAGAAGTAGCCTGGACACAACAAAGACTCTTCTCTTCATTCTGACTCCTGCCATCCATTGCCTCGGTTTCCTAGGAACTACCAGGCCAGCTCCCTGGGGTGACTCACGTATTCCTAACTATGGAAAAGGCAATGTTCTCCCTTCGGCGTCTCTAAGACCATGAAGTGGGCACATCTTTCACAGTGCTCTTCTTTTGAGAGCTCAGAAACTACTTAGCACAGATTTGCATACAATAATTATTTACTTAATTAACAAGTTCTCCGCTAGATTGTCCTTTCCCTCCTTCAAGGCTGAACATTACGTAAGATTCCTCTTCAAAGAAACATTCCCCGCACCCTTAGCCCCCGTAGGACTTGCTGCTCGTAATAGGATGTCCGAGGCCAATTCTCTACACGGGGTCTGTGGTGATTTACACTAGCTCAAGAGCTCAGAGAAACTAAGAAATCACACACGCAGCTACCACTGGCAACCCAGAGTACCAAACTTCATGGTATCCATAAAGCCAGGCTCTGCCGTTCAATTCCTAAAAGTGACGGTAAGAAGAATGTGCAGAGGAACTAACTGCCTGTTCCCCCCACAGAGCTGCAAGTTTTAGCCTTGGGAATAAAACGAAGTGCTGTCTTTAGGGTTACAGATGCTTTATTTAATAGGTTAAGCAGCCACATATCAAAATTTAATGCCTCTGGTACATTAAGAGCTTTCCCCTGTGGCTCTAAAAAAAAATCCAAACCAACCAATTAATCTATGAATAAAGAGAATTTTTTAAATGAATTTAATGGGATAGAGCAAGTTCCAAATGCAAAGACCTTTAACTCTGGCCACAGAGTGACTTGAAATGTCAAACGGGTGGAGTGGACCAGTGAGCCAAAGCCGCTTACCAGATGTCGGACTTGGTGTCGTAGCCTTGGTGTGTCAGGGTCTCAGGACTCATGTAATGGGGGGTTCCGGTTAGAGTTGTGGCCAGGTCACAGGAGCCCATCAGGAGTCGAGAAACTCCAAAGTCCCCTGGAAACAACAATTAATCTCCATGAGTGCTTTAAAACAACAACTGTCAAGGGCTGAAAATAACCACTGAAGATGGCCTAATTTGGGACTGTTTATTATGTAATACCGTTTTGAAGGAAAGGCAAAGTGTTATTTTAAATTGTACAACACTGGTAAACAGCTTTAGAAACATAAGTTTTATAGGGAATTAAAAAAAAAAAAGAAGGGGATTTTTAGCCAGGAAAAGTAAATTACATAAACTAAAATTCTTTATTTCTGGAATCAGGGAGAACTAGGCAACCCGATATTAAGTATTTCAAATCTGATAAGAGTAAACAGTGCTTATGGAAGGCTTGAAGATGATGCACAATTTTATCTTAGTTAATCTTAGTTAATTATAATCTTCGTTCATAATAAAGGAACAAATCAATGAAATACCTGAACCTGCCAGGCACTAGTAGCTCACACCTGTCATCCTACCTACTCAGGAGGCTGAAATCTGAGGATCATAGTTTGAAGCCAGCCCAGGTAGGAAACTGTGAGACTCTTATCTCCAATAAACTACTCAGAAAAAGCTGGAAGTGGTGGAAGTGGCGCTGTGGCTCAAGTGGTAGAGTTCTAGCCTTGAGCAAAAATAGCATCTCAGAGACAGTGCCCAGGCGCTGAGTTCAAGCTCCAGGATCAGAAAAAAAAAAAAAAAAGACCAGAATCTATTCAAGAGCATAAATATAAAAATTTGAGTACATCAATTTTCCTACTTTTGCCCAATTAGTGGTATGCTTTTATTCCTTCATTCCCTAAGACCGCCCGAGGGAGCGCTTAGGCAATTTAGTAATTATCGGAGTGGAGGCAGAGTTCTCAGGAACACCAGTGTTTAAATGCTGTAAGATAACTTCCTGCAGTCTGATAAACCAAGTGAGAAACCTTCAAGCAAGCTAGTGAAACAAGTCCCTTCTCTTGCAGAGACCTGGCAAGAGAGCAGGAACTCAGAGGCTACTTGGAAATCAACGAAGCACACAGTAAATGTTTTAAGACTCCATTTATATCGGACGATCAGAAACAAAATGATTGGGTTTGGGTTTTGAGGGGCCCATCCCGATCAGGGCAAAAAACTTGGGAAGCTGAAAGAAACCAGTGATTACTCTCACACTTCCATGAACCGCCAGCTTCAATTTGACAGGAGAACATCGAGGATATTCTCATCTATGGCTTTGAAGTACCTGTTAGCAACCATAGCTTAGTCTACTCCTTCCCTTCTCCACAGCTTAGCGTGTTCCCTTCCTAGGCAACACTAGGCCCATGTAGTACAGGCATAAATAATCAACTTCCAACCCCCTTTAACTTGGGATGGGGCACTTCTCTGGGGCAGCTACCACCATACAAGGCAACAAGAGCCCCTTAGAGTGACCTTCAGGACTGGGCAGCTGCAGGACCCCTTATCTATTTGGATAGCAGCCTTAACTCCTAGTCCACCATGACGACGCCCCTGGCCCACATATCCACACCGGGGTCTCTGCCTCCTGGCCCCTTCTAGCCTCTCCTAAACTTTTTAGGTTACATAGGGCCCCTCAGACAATAGCCGGCATTTCTGTTCAGTTCTCCCTTGTGAGAAGGGGTCTTGTCGGCTCCCTTTCCTGGCAATAAACCTTTCTTTGTCCTCTGTGCCTGGAGGTCTGCGTGGTTCTCTGGCAAAGTCTAATAATCTTTTATTTAATCTTTCAGTACCTGTTTTTAAGTCTTACCAATTTTAAGGAGGTTATTTTTCAGAAATATATTCTTTGATTTCAAGTCTCGATGTAGTATTCTCCTGCAGGGGACAGGAAAGGGTAAATGACTTCGTGAAAATTTAAGTTTTTAAAAATTTAAATCAAAATGTAACTCGTATACATGCTAATATGCAAAATGGTTCACCCATCAACCATCACTCACATAGAGGGTTGGGAGCAGGTAGAAAAGAGGACATAGAGCTATTTCTGTGGGCCAGGCGAAGTTGAGCTCACTGAAAGAGGTTGCTCAGTCCTCTAACACTGAGGCAAATGAACCCCTCACCTCTCCAACGGGAGTGAATTTTTGTGCAACACGCTCAAGACAGCTTTGAGTGATCAGTGGATGTTTTCGGCTTTTAATGGCATTATTTATATACCAGTGCCATATGCTGTAGATTTATTCTAAATTAAAATAAAAAAAATTAAACAAGTACAGACAAGCTCCCTAGGAGCCAGTGGAAATTTTCCACCCTTCTGTAACCTGGCTCCTCTTAGCTTTCCCATGGTTGTCTTTATCTTTTCTCTTAGCATACTGCTTTAGTAAGGGCTCCAGAAAAAACAGATCTGATATACATACATATATATATATATACATATATATATATATGTGTATATGTATATATATATATACATATATACACTTTATTACTGAGAATTGGCTCATGCGATATTGAAGGCTGAGAAGCCTCATGATCTTCCTTCTGTGAGGCTAGAGGCCCAGGAAAGCAATGATGTGATTTAACCTGAGTCTGAAGGCCTGTGAGCTGGCGGAGCCTGTATGTAAATGAGCTGTTCCAGCCAGAGCAGTGAGACAGCAAAAAAAAAAAAGTTTTTGTGTGTGACAAGTCCCTCCTCCTGTCATCTTTTCCTTTGGCCAGTCATAGGGCCTGAACTCTGGGCCTGGGCGCTGTCCCTCAGCTCTTCAGCTCAAGGTGAGCACTCTACCATGAGCCTCAGTGTCACTTCCGGCTTTTCCGAATGGAACCCAGGGCCTCAGGCATGCGAGGCAAGCGCTCTACCCCTGAGCCACCTTCCCAGCCCCCATTTCATCTTGCTCCTGGAAGTGAACCTACCTCTCATGCATGTAGTCTACCCCTAGCAGCAGCTGGATGAACCATTCTACTACCTGATTTTCTGGAAAGACTTTACCAGCTTCTTTACATTCCTGAATTTTATAGTCCAGATCTCGACCCTGAAACAAAAATAGCAAAAACCATCCATATGTTTATCCGTTGAGGTTTTTTTTTTTTTTTTTTTTTAAATAAAGCTCTCGCTGGGTGCTGGTGGCTCACGCCTGTCATCTTAGCTACTCAGGAGGCTGAGATCTGAGGATCACAGTTCAAAGCCAGCCCAGGCAGGAAAGGCCACGAGCCTTTTTTTTTTTTGGTCGGTCATGGCGCTTGAACTCTGGGCCTGGGTGTTGTCACTCAGCTCTTCAGCTCAAGGTGAGCGCTCTACCGCTTGAGCCACAGTGCCACTTCCAGTTTTCTAGTGGCTTATTGGAGACAAGAGTCTCACGGACTTTCCTGCCTGGGCTGGCTTTGAACTGCGATCCTCAGATCTCAGCCTCCTGAGTAACTAGGATGACAGGTGTGAGCCACTGGCACCCAGCTCCATGAGACTCTTATCTCCAATGAACCACCAAAAAAAAAAAAAACGGAAGTGGCGCTGTGGCTCAAGTGGTAGAGAGCTCGCCTTGAGCTGAAGAGCTGAGGGACAGCGCCCGGGCCCAGAAGTCAAGCCCTACGACCAACTGAAAAAAAAAAAAAAAAGTCAAGTCTTGGACTTGACTCCATATTGTGAGAAGGTAAGACTTACACACTCTACAACTACCAAACTCGACACCGGGCCTCAGCCTTGACCTCTAAGGCCTGAACACACATTTACACTGCTTCTAACAGCTCAGCTCTAGGCTCCATCTCCAGGACAGCCCAAGTTCTGCTTCCAGTGCCGGCCTGAGCGAGCAGGCACTACCTCGTGGAAGGAGATAAATCTAATTTTGGAAAACAGCAAAATCAGAACAGAGCAACTGGGTTTGGTCTTTGCAGCCTCCATGGAGAGGGGGACAGGGACCTTCATCCACAGGAGACACGAGAGGTAGTAGCATGAAGCTATCCACACACCTGTCCTTAAGAGTCCTCCTTAGATACAAAGGGAAAGCATTCATAGGCAATGTGACAATCCAAGAGAAAGAAATCACTTGTTGTCAAGCAACATGAGGTCAACTGACTAATTCATTTGTAATGCATTTTTTGTAATTTTTTTAATTTTTTATTGTAAAGATACTATACAGAGGGTTACAGTTACATGAGTGAGGCAATGAGTACACTACCTCTTGAACACTGTTACCCCCTCCATTGTTTTCCCTCTACCATCCCCTCCCTCCCTCCCTTCCCCGAGGTTCTTTTTTTTTTTTTTTTGATTGTGATTAAGTGATTACATAATTTCTGGAAATTCACAGTATTGTGGAATAATGATGCTCATTTAAAGTCACAAGTTCATTCTAACATTCCTGGAGCAAATTGTCTATCACAGTCTGTAACATATAACATGTTATATACCATATATGTGATCAGCAGCATGGGGATATTTGGTAGTGATTCAACCAGATGAGTGGGAGTTCTTTGTTTCTTAAGTCCCCACTTATCGGGGAGTGTAATGCATTTTTTAAATAAGTTTTTTTTTATTGTGGAAATACTGTACAGAGGGGTTACAGTTACACGAGCAAGGTAATGAGTACATTTCTTATCAAGCATTGTTGCCTCCTTCTCTGTTTTTCCCCTACCATCCCTGCCCTCCCATCTCCACGACTACCCTCCCCACCCCAAACCCACCCCATAATGCATTTTTTTAAAAAAATGTCCTTTTGGCGCAATGTGTGTTAAATATTTGCTTAGCATTCTCCCTCGTTCCACGCAGAGACAATCAAACATTGACTTGCGGCCTAGCTGAAGCACCGCTGGCCTGCTGGATTTTCTGGGCCAAGGAGATCCACGCTTGTTGGAATATAAAAATATAGGGAGCTAAACATTGGATGCCTTAGCAAGAAAAGACCATTGTTTTCTTCTCCTTCTTCAAACCTGCCTTTACATCTTCTCACTTGCTAAATCCTCTATAAAGTTTACCATAATTCTGTTGGATCAACCACACTGCTGCTGCCATATGTACATCCAAAACATGAAAGCCCTTCAGACAAAAGAGGAGCTATAAATATATGCAAATACACTGTTTTCAGCCGTAGTTCTGTTTTTCCATCTAAGAAGACTTTTGCAAAGCTTTCCATCATACAGAGAGAGAGAGAGGGGGAGAGAGAGAGAGAGAGAGAGAGAGAGAGAGAGAGAGAGAGAGGGAGAGAGAGAGAAAATGAGGTGCTAGTTGCTCACACGTGTAATCTTAGCTACTCAGGAGGCTGAAATCTAAGGATCACAGTTCAAAGCCAGCCTGGATAGGAAAGGCCATGAGACTCTTATCTGCAATTAACCATTCAAAAACTGGAAGTAGAGCTGTGGCTCAAAGTGTAGAGTGTTAGCCTTGAGCAAAAACAGCTCAGGTGACAGTGCATGGGCCCTGAGTCCAAGCCCCAAGACCAACCCCTCCCCCCAAAAAAATAAAAACCCAGAGAGACAGAGAGAGAGAGAGTTTAAGACAAAAACCACAATCATTCAATATTTTATTCCAATAATTCAGATTTTCTTTTTTTTTTGTTTGGGTTTTTTTTAACTGTACTTTTTTTGTCTTTTTCTTTTTTGGTACTGGGGATCGAACCCAGGACGTTGCGCTTGCTAGGCAAGTGCTTTTGCCACTGAGCTACATCCCAGCCCTAATTCAGATTTTCTAAAACATCTCCAGTGACAGAAAGATTGAATGTCGCCATCTCTTTCCTGAATCGTTTTAGATGAGGAATGAGGATGGAGAGACAGCAAGAGAGAGACGGAGAGAAGAAAGGGAAAGAGCAAGAGAAAAAGAAAAACTTACTTTAAAGAAATATTACTGGTCTGGGATGTAGCTCAGTGGCAAAGCGCTTGCCTAGCAAGTGCAACATCCTGGGTTCAATCCCCAGTACCAAAAAAGAAAAAAAGAGAAATATCACTGAAACTGCCTCCCAGCTCTTTCTATTCACCCAATGCTTATTTCTTCCAAAGGCCAAACATAAGCATAGTTGTCTTTTATGAACATGGCTTCCACACACATAATTACCTGCCCCAAGTATAAGGATCCTGAAATTGAGGCATTTGTCTCTGCTTTAAAATAGCATTCCTAGGAGAACAAGTACAGCAGTGGTACTCAATGGACACTAATGTTGAAAATGAACTATACAACCAATGGGTGGGAATGAGAGGGAAAAAGTGGGAGAGAGCAAGGGAAGAGGTGACATTGTCCAAAAAGAAATGTACTCTTAGGCTGGGAAGGTGGCTCAGTGGTAGAGCGTTTGCCTTGCATGCCTGAGGCCCTGGGTTCAATTCCTCAGCACCACATAAGCAGAAGTGGGGCTGTGGCTCAAGTGGTAGAGTGCTAGCCTTGAGCTGAAGAGCTGAGGGACAGCGCCCAGGCCCAGAGTTCAGGCCCCACGACCGGACTCCCCCCCACCAAAAAAAGAAATGTACTCTTGCTGGGTGCAGGTGGCTCATACCTGACATCTTAGCTACTTAGGAGGCTGAGATCTGAGGATCGTGGTTCAAAGCCAGCCAGGGCAGTAAAGTCTCTGAGACACTTATCTCCAATGAACCACCAGAAAACTGGAAGTGGCACTATGGCTCAAGCAGTAGAGTGCTAGCCTTGAGCTGAAAAGCTGAGGGACAGCGCCCAGGTCCAGAGTTCATGCCCCATGACCAACAAAAAGAAAAAAAGAAAAAAGAAATGTACTCTTTACCTGACCTTTGTAACTGTAATCCCTGTGTACATCATCACCTTATCTAAAACTACAATGATGCCTTTTTATTTCCCATTTGAAGGACTGTAGGATTTTGCACTGTCTCTCTGCTTCTGCATTTTATTCTTTTGAGTCCTTTACCATATGAGGCCATACTGTCCAGTGACATTTACTACAGCTTGGCCAGCATCTCTTCATGCAGCCTGTCCCGTGGATGCTAAGACACACCAAGCCACATCCCCAGCACCCAACTCTCTCCTCAAATACTGAACACAAGTTGTATGCTTGCTTCCTGTTTTGCTTTCCTGTAACTACACAAGTTCATTATTGAGGGGGAAAAGGACCAGTCTCTAGTAAGTAAAATGTTAGAAGGAGAGACACAAACACACCCTGGCCCTCTGGAGGAAACGTTATCCATTCTTGATGGAACACCAAAAGACTACATCACAGAGCTGGGTCTTGTATGTAAATCCCTCCTCCTACAATTTTCATTTTGTATGCTTATCTGCAAGAAAAACTATTTGTTTGTACTTAATGTGTTCTTTAATAAATACTCTGTGGATTATTTTCTAAGGATTTAATTAAGGGAGACAAATCAAGCACGGGTTCAGACAAAAATTATGTTTGGCTATGACAGAGAAAGAAATACAATTTTTTGTGATATAGTCTGATTTGAACCTAGCAATATGAAAAACATTTATTATTTTCTCTAAGCTTCCTCCCAAGTCAAAGCTAAGTGCTTTGGCTGAGCTGCCACATCACAGTTTAAGTTCTGATCACAGTCTCAGTTCATTTTGTTTTCTTGTCTTTGAGAAATGTGGATGTTTTTTTTTTTTTACTGGCAGAACAACTTTAATGAAGAGTACAGACTTGAACTTGAACCATCATTGATGCCTCCATCAGTCTGTAATGCTGTGAGAAAATACTTTCCCTCACTAATGTCACCCCTTGAAAGTTATGACAAAAGCCTTGATGTTAACTTCTAAAGTTTCAAAATTCTATAGCCCAAACTACCATTAGTTGATTAATGGTCTAGCCTCAGTTCCTCATCGTAGATAGCCGACATCAGAGAACTTTGAAATACTAAGGCTTTCAAGAAATAAAGACTCAACTACAGTGTTTTAAACGTCATCTTTGATTATCATGAAAAAGTTAAATCCTATAAGGATTTGATTTTTAAAAAAATTAATCCATTTTTAAAGCTGTCTATAGAAAAACAACTAGCTTAAAAGACCAAAGTAGAACATTCTCAGAAGAAGCCCAGATACAAATCTGAAATGGGAGAAGAATATACAAAGGGAAAAAAAAACCATCTCTGCATTTGAAGGCTAGAAGAAGCATGAAAAATCATTCTGCCCTACTTGTCTTGCTTTAAAATTAAAAGGCTGTCTCTTATTAATTCACTGGGCCGATATCTCAAAATGCTATTCCCTTACCCTGCCACATCTCCATTAAATAAACATCCCCCAATGGGGTGTGAATTAGAGTGTATTAGATCAGCCAGCTGCTTGCTGGAAACATACAACTTGGATATTCCTAGGTGACTCTGGAGGTGGCCTATTGGCCACACGTGGAGAAAAGACATTAGACGATGACATAAATGGACCCTGTATTTCACATTTAACCCAACACTGAAAATATGTTCGCCTAATGTTTGAACAATCACGGCGTGCTTTTCTACCCCTGAGCCTGTTATCCCATTGTTCCTTAATGGAAATGTCCTTTTGCCCTGTTCAACCTTACCAAACCCTTCCCTACATTTCAGGTTCAAAGACAGTATGTGCCATTCCTCAGGACGCTGGGAAGTGGCAGCCTGACCGCTCAGGGGACCAAAGACCTCCCCCCACCCACCCAAGCTGGTCTCCAGTGCAGCCAGCAGCCATCACCATGGCAACGGCGATGGGAACCCTCAGCTCCACCCTGGAGAGCAGCCCAGTGTTTAAAAATTAACACAGATGTTCCCCCTGGTTTTAGATCCTTACCAACACACAGACACACACAGACACACACATTTTTTTTAAAAATAGAAATGTCCTTCCTCTAGCTAAAGAGACTGAGTTTACATATGGATGGTGAGTTTGATGGGGTGATTCTCAAACTTGAACTTACTTCCAACTCACCTGATCGGCTTGTCACAACACAGATGGCTGAACCCCCACCCCCAGAATTCTGACTCAGTATGACTGGGCTGGAGGCCAACGAGTTCCCTAGCGATGTGGATGCTCTTGGTCTGGGATCCCATTTTGAGAAGTGCTGGGATTACACAGTCACAGTTGTGTCAGTGTTAATTTCCTGAGCTTCCTGTAATCGGTTGTACTGTACTTGGGAGAAGGTTCTTCGCTTTTTAACAAATCAGAAAGTATTTGGGACAAAGAAGCGTCTCATCAGCAACTTTGCACTCATCAGCTTTCTGTTGCTATGACAAAAATACCTCAAAATATTCGGCTTCAGAGGAGGAAAGGTTTCAGCTCACTGGTTTTGGAGATTTGGGTCCAGGGCTGGTTGTCTGGCTTCATCACTGTTGAGCCTGGGGTGTGAGTGGGAGGGGCAGGACATCAAGGTAGGGAGCAGTGCTGGAACAAAGCTGCTCACTTGAGCGCAGCCAGGAAGCAGAGGGGTAGTGGAGGAGACTAACATTCCGACATCCCTCACAGGACACGCCCCAGGGACCTCCCTCCCTCCCACCAGGCTCCGCCCACTGTCAGGATGCTTGCCAAGTAAGCCTTTAATACCTGGCCTTCAGAGGACAGCCAAGATCCAAATCATAACACATTTATTCTCAAATGGTTCAGGAAAAAAAAAACAAAAGAATAGTTAAGATAGAGCAGATAAATAAATAGCATGATGAATCAAATGTGGAAAAACTGGGGAATCTGGAGGAAACGTAAACAGTGTTCATTGTGCTATTCTTTAATTTGTCTAATAATGCAAAAATTACAAAAAAAATAGTTAAGGTACATCATCTATGCCTACCAATATGGTAGCCCCTAGCTATACAGGATTGTTTTAAATTATTTAAATTAAACAAAAAATAGCATCCAGCTCAACTTCAAGGGCTAGTAGGCCAGGTATGACTGGTAACCCCTGTACTGGACAATACAATATAGACATTTCCACCATTATAGGAAGTTCTACTGGATGGTACTAATGACAAGTTAAAGTATTCTAAGACTATAGAGCTGTTTAAAAAATTCACTTTGCTAGGTGTCTGAGGCTCACACCTGTAATCCTAGCTACTCAGGAGGCTAAGACCCGAGGATCGTGGTTTGAAGCCAGCCTGGGCAGAAAAGTCCCCATGAGACTCTGATCTCCAATCAGCCACTCCAAAAATGGAAATGGAGCGGTGGCTCAAGTGGTCGAGTGCTAGCTAGCCTTGAGCAAAAGAGCTCAAGGACAGCGTGCAGGCCATGAGTTCAAGCCCTACAACCACCACCAACAACAAATAAATTCACCCTGCCAAAAGCAGTAGCAGAGGTATCAGTACAAGATGGCCTATTAAAGAAAGAGGATTGAATCACAGCATAGCTATGCATGCAAATGTCTGTCATTTCACCCGGCTTTGAGACCTATTGCCAGGGAGGCTGTTCAGAAGTACCACCACTCTATCCGTCTCATCACCTTAGTGATTTTCCTGATCATCCCTTGGAGAAAGAAGACACTTCAGTGATCTTAAAATATATATTCCCTGTGACTGAGTTTGCCACGGTGGACAGACTGTTCATTAGAAATGAGTTTTGTCTGTCTTTTAGGAATGGTTATTCTTTGCTTCAAGACATGAAGGTCTCTATTAAGTCTGTCTTGTGGTTTGATAATTGAACTTTGGAGATGTCATCTCTTTACATAAGGCTTTTTACTATGACCCAGATTTCTATTAAGCTCTCGGGAGAGAAGAAGAAGCTCACCTCGCAGTATTCTGTGATGATGCAGAAGTTAGCTTGCTCCACAAAGCTTGCGTGGAACTTGACAATGGCTGGATGGTCTAGCTTGGAAAGGAGCTGGGCTTCCAAACTGGCCTGGATGGTCTCGTTTGGGTTTAGTTCTCCAACAGAGATTTCCTTTAATACCTTTCTGTGGCAAAAAAAAAAAAAGGTAAATACATTTAGGGTTTTTTTAAAAAAACACAAAACTCATTTAAATCAGTGGTATAGAACCACTTAATAGGTGCATAGCTTGCGTTGAGCTCATATGGCTCTTGCTGCCTGTTATGATGCTGTTTCCTTGGGTGTTCCTGGGTCCTCTTCCTGTCCTGATCAGTGACAGGGCCTCCTCAGGGCCTCTGCCTTCCACATCTGTGCCAAACAGCACTGCTGGGATTGGCCCTTCTTGTGTCTCACCAGTCATTTGATTTCACTGGGCCTCTCTCGCATTGTTTCTCTCTGTGTTCTATGTCTGTCCTCTGTGTTCCCAGTCATCTCTGCTTTACTCCTTGTGTCTCTCTCTCTCTAGTATATATAAAATATGAAACCTTCAACTATCTACCTGCGTCTTATTTTCTTTTTTGCCTATCACTATCTCATTCCTGTCTTCTCTGACTCTGTACATACATATGTATACACACACACACACACACACACACACACACACACACACACACGCACATGCATACATTTCCTGATCTTGCAGTCCTAAAATTTTCCAAATCCATCCATTTATTATCAGTCGGGAGAATATTTTTAATAGACTGTCATTCACCTATCATACTTTATTGCTACTACTAAAGCGTTGAGAGAAGGAAAGCATCGCTGATTATATTAAAAGAGGTATTTAGGATCTCTAGCCTGTATAAATAGGAGAGCTCAGTAAATCTCCAAATCATTAATTTAAAAAAATTGTGATAACTTAATGAGGATTGGACCAAAACATTTGCTCTTTCCCGTTTAAGAAAAGTAGTCTGATGAGCAAATCAATTAGGGGACCACAGTGTAGACAGGATGGCTGGAGAAAAGCACTGCAGAGCACCAATTATGCGTTCAGGCAGATGCTGCTGATTTTAAGGTGGCTCCGGCTGTTCATTAAGAGTAGGCTCTGCAGAGCTTGCACTAGAAAAACATTTTGCAGAGATGTTCTTTCAGAGATGCTACCTATGCATATTAATTAAAATGTATTTACAGTAGACACGCTCTTAATTATAGGCCCTTGGAGCAACCGATAAATCAGTCCTCATTCTCCAGCGGTGTCTAACAGATGGCTCATGACGCCCTGGTTGTCAGCAGTGCCCAGGGCTATGAGGCCTCTCTGGCAAGTTCACTAACTTCCAGAAACACTGTGTTTACACTCGAGTCTACCCATGACAGTTGTGTGCAGTCATTAATTCAGACTTACGTGGATATAAATTGATGAAGGATAATTATCAGTGATCTTTGCTGGGAAAATGCTTACCGAAAAAAAAAAAAAAGCTGGATAAGGACATTCTGCAAAATAAATTGCTATCCAGTTTTGACAAAACAATTCAGAGTATGGTTCAACATGTTAAAAAAAAAATCTAAAGATGTCTAGTGTAATCCCAGCTCTTCAGAAAGCAGAGATCAGGAGGATCGTGTTTGAGGCCAGCCCAGGCTCTAACTCAATCATAAATAGGGCATGGTGGTACATGCCTTTATCCTAGTCATGGAGAGATTATTAAACAGCAAGATCTTGGTCGGGGCCAGCTTAGGTGAAAAGTTAGCAAAACCTCATCTCCCTCAGCATGTAGGATCCGGTGTCCTGCCCTGGCATCTCAGCTACTTTGGAAGCCAAGCGAGGAAGATCTGAGCTCACATTGCTCAATTTGCATTGTGTATTACCAGAAGATAAACACACAAAAAAATTAGTGTTATGGATATGATGTATGCAAAAAAAAAAGATAAAGGGGCTGTAAAACCAGGGGACATGAAAATGGCGGCCATCTACTCAAACAACAGAGCAAATGTACAAAGACGTGCTTTAAATTTATATGTTAATACCGTTTCATGTTAAAATTGCTTCCTGGATTCTAGCAAATACTAGCTCCATTCAACGTTAAGAGAAGAGGGGTCTACTATTCGATCCACGCTATTCTGTCAACTGTTCTTGAGTTACTGTGGGCAGCCAGCCCTCCAGGCATTGTTCTTGTGGAGAAAACAGGATCTCCTCCAGCCATACCACAGGCAGAATGTACTTCCTGGGTCACACTCGGGGACCCGGAAGCTTTGATGCTGCAGTTCATACACTGCTATGTAGTATTTCCTCTCCCATGTCTCTCGGTGGGTCTATAGTAAAAAAAAAAAAAAAAAAAAAATCGACCCAGTTGTACGCAGCCACTCTTAGCTAGATCTGTCCGGGAAAGCTGAGAACCCAAGCAGGAAAGCAGCAACATGCTCTCTTCCTGCTACAGTGCTGGGAAAGATCCAGTACCAGATGGATCACATTTCCATCCCAACGTCTCAAGAGATAAACTTCTGAGATGACCATTATTATTATTATTTTTTTTTTTTTTGCCAGTCATGGTGCCTGAACTCTGGGCCTGGGCGCTGTCCCTCAGCTCTTCAGCTCAAGACTAGTTAGTGCTCTACCACTTGAGCCACAGCACCACTTCCAGCTTTTTCTACTTATGTGGTGCTGAGGAATCGAACCCAGGGCCTTATGCATGCAAGGCAAGCACTCTACCACTGAGCCACCTTCCCAGCCCGACCATTATTACTTTTTTTAATTTTTTTTTTTGCCAGTTCTGGGGCTTGAACTCTGGGTCTGGACACTGTCCCTGAGCTTCTTTGTCTCAAGGTGAATGCTCTACCACTTGAGCCACAGCGCTACTTCTGGCTTTTTCTGTGTTATGTGGTACTGAGGAGTCGAACTCAGGGCTTCATGCATGCTGGACAAACACTACCACTGAGCTACCTTCCCAGCCAAGAGAAGACCATTACTGAAAGTCTCATTATCGTCAGTGTCCTCCCTGGTCTGCTCATGCTAATCTAGAATCATCCTCAGGAGACAGCCCTTGGCAGCCCCGGCTGCTTCCAAGTGGGCAGCGGTGGAGAGGATGCCGGGCCCCTCTGCCAGTGCAGGTGTCTTCCAACGTGATCGCAGTTACAGAGTTGGCACATGCGCTTTCCTTCCCCAAGCAGGTGCATGGCACTGGTTTTGTTAGGTTCAGAAGACCTCGTGGATGTCTTGACGATGAAGTAACGTCTACTGACATTCATGCTAGGTGATGGACATACTCTAACAGAATGACCTGTTACCCAGACTGGCAGGGTCTGCGCCTGCATGAACTGGAAATGCCACAGGAGCCGCCCTTCCCTGTAGACTTCCGAAGGCTACAACGCAGCAGGCAAAGCTCAGTGACATCTTCCCGGCTGCGCCTTTCCAGAAACCGTGTCCCAGCTAGCATGCACTTGTGACAGGCACAGTGGTGAAGCATGAAAAAACAAGGCCGGAAATGTGTCTTGTTCTCTTGCTATGGAGGCACAAATGCTACAGAAGAAAAACTTTCAAGATGTTTACTTTCTCCTCCTGGTGAGTATTAACCATCGTGTAGCAGAGCAAGAAGTCTTACGTGTCATTACCTGAGCCCCATCTGGCAGTCCGGTGATAAGGTGGAAGATCTCATTTGCCCAGGCCCCCCCCCACTCCCCGGCCCCGGCTGTTAAGATGGGTGGATGGGTGGGTATCTACCATAATCCTCTCGAGCTGGCCCAGACCTTTAGCTCGCTACACCCGTGGCCCTGAACTGACACGAGACACTCTCGTGGCCTGTTGCCTAATAGGAGATCCATATTGGAGCTTACCAAGTGAGCAGCTTTCCCCTGGGTCTGCAGCTCTCAGCCTGTCACCCTTCGGAGAAATGTGACACATGTTTCTTTTTATCAGAGCCTGCAAGTGGTCGGGAGAACCTTCCATGACAACGGCCAAGACGGGCCTTCCCTGGGGACCTCGCCATCTTGCAACCCTGCGGCTCCTCTCTCCTGAATGCCATATGCTTCTTTCTATCTAAATAGATGGACACACTTGGGAGATAGACTTTGTAAATTTTAGGGGGTGACCATGGTTATCGCCAGCCCCTTGAAACTGGGCCCACCTTTTCTGCAAACGGGGCATATGAAATGTTTGAGAGATTATTCATAGGTTACTTCCCCCAAAACTTCTGTGTACTCTTTCACATTGTTACCTGATCAACTTAGCAGCCGACATGGCCTTAGAAGGAAGAGAGAGAGAGAGAGAGAGAGAGAGAGAGAGAATCAGTACAGAAAAGATCAGTCAAATCCCTGGCTTCTGAGTTCACAAAGAAGAATCTAAAGCCAGGGGCTGGGAAGGTGGCTCAGTAGTAGAGTGCTTGCCTTACATGCATAAAGCCCTAGGTTCGATTCCTCAGCACCACATAAACAGAAAAAGCCAGAAGTGGCGCTGTGGCTCAAGTGGTAGAGTGCTCGCCTTGAGCTGAAGACCTGAGGGACAGAGTCCAGACCCAGAGTTCAGGCCCCACGACTGACAAAAAGAAAAAAAAAGAAAAAAAATCTAAAGCCAAAATGAAAAATTCCAAAGGAACAATTCCAGGAGGGAAGTTAAGAAAATAAGTGGAGATGCACAGGCAAAGAGGTACAAAGGGGGCCATCAGAGGACTCCAAGATGGGAAGGACCTCAGGGCCCTTAAACTAGGCAGAGCACCTGCTCGGTCCACACCTGGGAGCCTGAGCCACGTAAGCATCCTCCATGACCATAAGTCATTGCAAACACTTAGGCAATCATCACAAAGTCACCAGTGGGCGCTGGTGGCTCACGCCTGTCATCCTAGCTACTCAGGAGGCTGAGATCTGAGGATCACGGTTCAAAGCCAGCCTAGGCAAGGAATGTCTGTGAGACTCTTATCTCCAATGAACCACCAGAAAACCAGAAGTGGCGCTATGGCTCAAGTGGTAGAGCACTCACCTTGAGCTGAAGAGCTGAGGGACAGCGCCCAGGCCCAGAGTTCAAGCCCCATGACAACAGGAGGAAAAAAAGAAAAAGCTATTTCATTCTTTTTCTCCCTTTTGAGGGTTTTGTCCTGTAGTACTGGAGATTCTAACCCAGAGCCTCAGGCTTGCTGGGCTGGCGCATTACCACTACGAAGCTAT